GCTGAGGCATCTGCTGCTCTCTGCACCTCTGCTTGCCAGATCTGTGTCCAAGACACAAATGCTCCAGCTCGCTCTCTTGAACACTCAGCAACCACCACCCTGTGCTATGACCTCAGCAGCCTAATGTCCCCCTCACCCCACATCCCACCCTTCTCGTTCAACCCTGGCAGCGCTCCTCCGTCAACCAGATGTGAAGAACAAAAGGAAAAGCTTGGATCAAGTGTGCAACCCTACGGCACTCCGCATGCAGAGAGCTCGCAGGGCGAGGCCCATGGTCAGAGGAGACGAGCCTCCCACAGCTGAGTGCTTTGTTGTCCTAAAGGCAGTGCTGCCTGCCTTCATCCCTAAGACAATTAGCTATTGAAGGTGAAAGAGCAAGGCCGCTCCAAGCAGAATTCATTATGCATATGCCTGCGAGCAGTACTCTCTAGAAAAACAACATAAAATGCAAGAGTGAAGTGCCCTCACTGATTTTGCTGATTCCACTAAATTTCAGATCTAATAATGTCTCCATATTGCTTCAATTGTCTCTTCTGAGGCACAGCTGTGACTTTCCCCCCTGAAGCATTGTGGCTGCAGAAAGGGAAATAAAACCTAGCCAAGGCGTTCAACGCAGCAGCCTTTTAATATACAGCCTGTTCCCTGTATGAATGTTCCCTACATTCATACATTCTGTATCTCCAACTACTGTCTCCCTGCTAGAAAGACTAATAGAATTGGCTCTTCTTATTCTCCAAGCTGTGGTATAATCTGGTTAAGGAGGTTTTTTTCCTGGGATGAAAGGTGACTTCTGTTTAAGGATGCAAAGTAGTATTTAGTGGAAATGGGTTCACTTCCTGCCTCCTGGATGTTCTGCCACCATCTTCCACATCCACCCCATCTACATTTGGACACTTAAATGAGGTTATAAGCCTTGGTGGATAGCCAGGAGGGGCTGTTAACTGGTGGCCATTGAGCCCCTCCTAAAATCACAGGCATGTGGAGGTCCTTACGTTTCCACTGATTGTAGAGAGATCCCGCACTCCTCTTATCTGTAGTACCTCAGACACTCGCTCTGGTTTTGCATCCAGATCCCAAGGCTGCATAAGGCATTTGGGACCATTTATTTAGAGGGTCTGTTACTGCTCATGTCAACTTCTGTTATCTGTGGGATGAACTGAACTGTGCTGGCAATGGAGAGGCCTGTAAAAGCTTGAATGGATGGGTGATTAGCCAGCCAACTTGATCTTCATCCAGAGGGTTTTCCAGATAAAACAGCACTGAACCATGGAGTAGGTCGATGATGCTGGTGTTTTATTTTTCTATTGCAATTGCATGGTACAAAGTCCAGCTGTGGATCAGGGCCCCCTTCTGGTAAGTGCAGGTGGGAAAACACATCTCTTGCCCATGCGTTTCAGAGAAAGCTGGGTCTTCTGGAGCTCTAGGATTACTTGTCTGTGGTCACACTCTGGCTAGCACAACCTCTGCACTTTTGTGTCTGTTACCATATTCTTAGATACAAGATAAGAGCCCTGTTTAACATCCAGCTTTTTGGTTAAAGTAGCTCTTTTCCTCCTGGGTCTGCTTTGCACTTGTACCCAGGGCACTAGTAAAACATTTTCTGCCTCTCGTGTGCAATGGCATAGTAATTTGTTTCCTGGATATCTCCTCGTCATTCAGTCTGACAGTTCTCCTCCCTTAGGAGATGTTGGCTTCTCCATCTCTTCTAAGGCAGGGTAGCTGCCAAAGTCCATCTCAGTCCATCTGCACTGAAAACTCCTATCTGGCGTTCTCCCCCCGCCATCTGCATGGGTGAGAGAAATGTCAAGCAATGAAACACAAGAACTCCCTTGGTCTGTCAGTTCACGTGAAAGGAGGAGAAAGGCTGAACTGTGTACCTGCCCTTCACACATGTTGGATGCCCTGCAGAATTACCCATTGCACAGTAGTAGAGAGTGTTGCCAAACAGGTCACTGTCAATTTGCTGCAAAGCAGCTGAACTGGGCAGCAAAGGAAATAGGAGATAGGGAACGGCATGCTTGAGCTGAGAAAAAGTCACTCTCTGTCCTATTTTAAGGGGAAGAAGGTTTGAACTCTGAAGTTAGACCAGCGTAATGCACAAGGGAACAGGGAAGAGGTATCTGATGAGTGCAGCTACATGCTGTACTAGCTCTGCGTCAAGTCTGGCTCTCATGTCTGCACTCCCGCGCTGTCTGTTCTTCAGTCTGCATCTGAGCAGCTTATGCTCAGACTCCAGACCAACTACTTGTTCAAACCAGACAGCATGTCCAAGAAGCCCGTGTGAAAGCACAGTTGTCAAGGACGGTGGAGACTTAATCACGTTTGAAAAAAGAGCTCTCTAATTTCAAAGCAACCCTATTAGTGGAGAAAAAGAGTTATCATTAGTCATGGATATAAGCAGTAGCTCATGAACACAGGCTCCCTAGGTCATAGCTGACTTACAAAACCTAGTGTAAATACAGTGCAGCTATATGTTGGTATGAATTGCTAGCGCCTTTTTTATAATGGCACTGGTGATCTATCCAAGCCAGTTTTCATCAATAAGAAGTCAAATCTTTGCCAGTGCACAGGATGTACTCTCTTACCCTTCTGGACCGTGCCTTGGGCATTGCCATGAGTACTAGATGGTTTTCAGTCCTCAAGCCCTGCCCCAGCCCCAAACCCAAAGATTTCTGAGCCTCACTGCATCCTCTTGAATGCTCTTAGGGCGGTGCTCGGTTCCATTTGGATCAGCAGCACCATAACCTCACCCCTGGAGCATCCAGACAATCTCTCCACACAAAAACAATTGCAACTTTTTGTTCTCTGGCTGGGATTCCTGGACTGCTACTTTTTGTTCGGGTTTATTTTATTCTCAATATAAATAAAGAAAACAAAACTAGTGCAAGTAATAGTCTGAAGCTACTAAAGTTGCATTGCAGGAGACGTGGAACTAGAACAAGCAAAACATTCTCATGGGGGTTTTTTTCCGAGTAGAATTGGTTAATCTTGGGTTCAGACTTTCACTCACTCAGCAGGCCTGCCCCACAATATTTACTTAAAATCACAGCAAAGTGCATTAAAACAATGTTAAAGCAGAGACACCAGCCCACAAAGAGCAAACAGAACCAGGGACACTCTGAGATGAGACAGCGGTGCGCTTATTTCAGGCTTTCCTCTGCCAGTCAGATGGTGCCCCCTTTTTGGCCAGCACCGGAGATGCTGGGATGCTGCGGAGGGAGCGCAGTGTTTCTGGTCAGGGGCGTTGACCACTCTGGCACTTCATTGTGTATTGGCGTTTTGTCCTGTGCAAAGGATGGAGAACACGTCCCCGCTGCACAGATGCTAACGGTAGCGCAGAGTACACAGCAGTGGTCAAGCCTCTCCTCCCTTTTCCCCTCTATGTTGTTGTGCTGTAAGGACAAGCCTTAACTGAGAGAGCATTAATCCTCGAGGAGGGGCATTACCATGGGCTTATTCATGACTGTTACGTGGGTCTCTGCTCTTCCCCGGAGCCTGATTCCTCGAGAAGAGCCTGAGTTGAAGCCAGAGGTTCTTCCTGAGCCATGCAGAGAGGGTTCAGCTGCCACCGTGCTCAGAGCAGCCCTGAGGTGATGCTCTCATCTTGAATTTGATGCAGTTCGAGGCACTGTGAAATCTTTGTTTTCCTTAAATGACCTTTGCTTGCACAAGACAGCCTGCATTCAGCTGTGGGCTGCTCTGCATACTTCATCGCTTCAGCAAGGAATCCACTTTCCTCTGCTGAACGGCAAAGACTCAGACAGATGTTTCTCCATCTCCACAGAGCATGATGATATAATTGGCAGAGCTCTTGGAGAGGAGCTGTCTGTATCTCTTTATGCGTCAGCCCCTTCCACGCCAGTTCCTCTAATCCCTGTCAAATCCTTCTCCAGCACCCTTCTGCCTTTCTACCAGCATCTCCCTTACTTCACTTTGGGTCTCTCTTCTGCAGAACATTTGTCCGTAGGCTGGGTACAGCAGGGAGAAGATACAGAGCTGTGCAGAGGATTCAAAATGGCTGATGCTGTTACGCCAACAGATCTACTCCAGCCTGCATGGGCTCAATGCTCCATTTGGCATTTTTTCACCAGGAAAAACATTTACTTTGGGAGAGGAAAGAGGAAAGCAGAAAATAAGCTCACGCTCACAAATCCAAAAACTAGAAATCCTCTAGTGCCTTTTTGGATGATTTCATATCTAAAAGAATGAATCCATAATACAATAGTGCTGATTATGACATTTGAGTATTTACAGTGGGATCTTTTGCAGGTGGAACTTAGGAGAAAAAAAAAAATAACAGCTCGGAGGGCAAAGGTTTTGTTTAAAAATGTACAACAAACTGTAGCTTAGCACCGAAGAGCAAGAAAAGCAGTTTATTGGCTTCTCAAGAGCACTAGAATATCAAGACATCCTAATGAAGAATGGCTGTATTTCAGAAAAGATTCTGAGCAAGAAACTATCTTAGTTAAACAAATCTTCCCTTTTGCCTGGTTGGTAAATGATTAGAAATAGGACACAAAAGCCAGGTATTTGAAGGAGAAAGAGGCTCCAAATGTTCAAAGTCCAGATTTCGTGCTGTTGGAAGTTTAAGACTGAGGTCTGGGAAGAGGCATCTGTAGAGACAGGGACCACGGGTCATGCACTGACTCAGACGCCAGTTCCGAAGAATAGGAACAGCTCCTGCCAGCTCTTGCAGCTTCAGTATGACTTGAAGTACTTGATGCTCTGTTTAAAGATCCTGGAGTCAGAAAACAATATGAGAGGATTGCATCCTTCTTCACTACAAAAGCTGTTGTTAGGGTTTAACCTCTTGGTTGCTCAATGCAGGACTTGCTCTTATAACATCCATCTCTGAGAAGGAGAAGGAACAAAGCAGCGTGCCCAGGAATACTTACACTGATGTCAGATTTGCAGACAGCCAGGAAGGTATCTCTCTCAGCTGCGATGCCATTGCCTCGATCAGTAACTGTTCTTTTCCACTTTGTTCTCTTTTGTTTTAGGGCCGTTGCATCAATTTCACCAGAGTGAAGAACACAGAGGCCCCACCCAAATACCCGCTCAACAACACGTACCCTCCGTCATCTCCACCTCCAGCACCCATCTACAACCCCCCACCCCCGGCTCCCATCTATACCC